ACCATTTAAACGAGTAATGCTGCTTACTGGTATTGAAACCTCCCAATCTCTCAAACATGCTGGCATTTTGAACTGTACTAAAAACAAAATACTATATATAAAAAAACAACTTTTTAAACTTCGGGGCTTCACGTGGGGGGTGCAAAATGTAACCCCACCTTTTGTGCCCCGATAAAAGGTTCGGGGAATTAGGGAACAAAAAAATTAAACCCCTTCTTTTCAAAGAGGGCCCTAAATATAATACTACAGTTCCTAATTGCTACTCTCGGTCTCTAACCTTTTCTACCATATGTTACGAGGCCATTTTTATCATAAAAAACTGAAATTATATTAAATGTTAATTTGCAAAATCAAGTAATTCATCCACATCAACCAAACATGAATAGCTCCATAAGTTTCTGAGTTTTACTACACAACTAATTTCTTAGTTTTACTACACAACTAAATTGAAACTGGTACTGGTAACCTCCATACTGCCCTCTCACACCTGGATAAGAAAGGAACATATGTGAGAATACTGTTTGTTGATTATAGCTCAGCATTCGATACCATAGTGCCCTCAAAGCTTCTCATCAACCTCCAGGACCTGAGACTGAACACCACCCTCTGAAATTGGATCCTGGACTTCTTGACAGAGCGTCCGCAGGTGGTGAGGGTGGGCACCAACATATCCTCTACCCTGACTCTAAATACTGGAGACCCCCAAGGCTCCGTGCTTAGCCCTGTCCTCTACTCTTTATTTACCCATGATTGTGTCGCCAGGTATAACTCAAACTCCATCATCAAGTTTGCGGACGATACATCAGTCATCGGCTTGATAACAGATAGTGAAGAGTCTGCGTACAGGTAGGAGGTTGAAACCCTGGCAGCATGGTGCCAGTAGAACAACCTCTCTCTGAACATCAGTAAGTCTAAGGAGATGATTGTGAACTATAGGAAACAGCAGGGAGAAAATTACACACCTATCTACATCAATGCGACTGCAGTGGAGAGGGTCAGCAGTTTTAAGTTCCTGGGAGTTAACATCTCAGAGGACTTAACCTGGACCCACCACACCAACACCGTGGTCAAAACAGCACAGCAGTGCCTATTCTTTCTCCGTAGGCTAAAGACGTTTGGCATTCCATCACATATCCAGGCCAACTTTTACTGGTGCACTAATGGAGAGCATCCTGACTGGTTGCATCACTGCCTGGAATGGAAACTGCTCCGCTCTGGATCGCAAAGTACTGCAGAGTTTGGTGAAGTCAGCGCAGCTCATTACCGGCTGTGAGCTACCAAACATCCAGGATATCTACTCAGCTAGATGTCTTAAGAAGGCCAGGTCCATTCACAAGGACCCCAGTCATCCCAGTCACAAACTGTTTTCCCTCCTACCGTCTGGTAAACGATACCGAAGCATTCGGTCCAAATCCTTCAGATTACGGAACAGCTTCTACCTCCAGGCAATAAGACTGCTAAATAGCCAACCTGCAGCTCCTTTAGCAAATCACCTGTAATGGCTACATCAACACACAGTTTTCACTGTATTCAGCATCATTGCACTACTTGTATATATTGCATACACCATGGACACATAGCAGCTCTACTCATATTGAGTTTTATTCAATTTCTATTACATCTATTATTATGTAACCTTAATTTTGTCATTTTTGTGATTTTTGAGATTCTTTCAATCTCTTAATCAGTGTCAGGGGAATTCAAGTTGTTCTCTAATAAACTTTTAGATGCACTTGGTTATTGATGCTCCTTTGCTCTCCTCCGGGATTCCATAGATCCTCAGGTTTTGTCTCCTCGACCTGCCCTTCAAATCCATTATTTTGACCCCTGCTTCTGTTTCTGCAGCAGGTCTAAAAGTACAGACTGGCTCCTTGCGCCCCACTGGGCAGGGAGAGGACTATTTTGGTCTCCCCATTCCTCTTCAAAATCCTTTGTCATGTAATTGTGAGTGTGTTTACGTCCTCTTCCTCGTTTTCCCATTGTCACTCAACACTTAATATTTGTATTAAATTATTTAAATTACAATTTTGACGAGATTGTTTTTCTAAAACAACCAAGAGAGTGACATTTTTTTTAATCTTTTGTTTCCAAAATGTCCCCTTGTGATATTTTAGCAGCTTAGCTACATGACTCCATATTAATATTGCTATCAAGAGGTTTTAAATCAGTACAACTTTTATGAAATTCAAGTATTTTAAACGTTTAATTAAATAATAAAAATCTTACACTGTGCACAAAGATTCTAAGTTGATCATGAGGAAGACAAGCCAGCCGTTTGTCGCACATAAAAAATGGATTTTTACAGCTTTTAAAGTCATGCAATGCTTGAGTTAGGCAGGAACACCTCATTGTATCTTATTTTTTATTTCATCTTTAAAAATTAAAGAAACCATTTGCCCATCGAGTTGATAAGCTGTTCCCCGATTTAATTGTAAAAAATAACCCTTCTCCCCTGCCTCGTTTAATTTAAAGATTTCTGTGAAGAAATCCTTAAACATAAAACAATCACGTATAATAATTAATCCAGCTGGTTCCCTGTTGAATGATACTGATGGACCGCGTTCAATTCCAGGCGGCGTACTACATAGTACATTTGAACTTTTTTTTTAAATTCCAAGTTAAATTGTTGGCTGATTACTGGCGGCTGACATTTGGATTAAGACAAAATATAGATTTTCTCAATCCGGATGTAAACCTGAAAGAGACACATCATGTTCGCAATAAGCTATAATAGTGGACTATTTTTATGCATTTGGCTATATGAGAAACAAACTGAAAGTAATAATCTGATCGCACTTTAAACCGCCTGGGTGCCGCTCACTGCATTACAGTTCTCATTACCCCTACAAGGACAATAGAAGTGTTTTTTAAAAAAGAAAATAATGTCAAAATGTTTCCGAAACGTCCCCTTGTGATACTTTAGCTGCTTAGTTACACGATTCCATATTCATATAACTATCGAGTAATGTTAGATCACTACAACATTTATCTTTTAACAATGACAGCAGGTGGTGTTCTTACTATGTATTCTTAGAAATGAAGTACAGAACTTTTTATGAAGTACAGAATATAAGCTTAATTATGTTAGAACAAGCACATTATAACCAGAACCCACTGTAAGTTACCAAGTTAAAGACTTTTATGTGTAAAATGTATGCATCATTAAATTATTTATGAAGAAGGTGGAAGGTTGTGTACTTTTGTCCAACTGAGCAATCTTGCTTTTATAAAATATACTGACTTTTTAAAATTGAATGTTTAACATGTTGTAATACAGAGTTTAAAATTAGTGAAAGTTTAAACAGTATGCGGCTTAAATTCTTAATTGGAAAAAGATTGTCCCTCAGCAGAGACCGGGATTCGGAATGTTTTAACGCAGTGTACCTCGCTCATTTTGAATGGATGGTTCTGTGTGTTAAATAAGGGTCAGAACTAGCTCTCCCATTTGTATTAGAACCTGGAACATAAATTCAGAAGTTTTCCTGTTTTCATATTTTAAATCACACTCAGAAATAGTTTAAAATGTCCCTTTGCCAATTACAATTTGTTTAGGTAGCAACAATACCAATGGAATCCATTCATTGCAGCGGAGGATTAATGACATGAAACGGGAATAGTAATTCTGTTAATAGCCTGACACCACTGTCCCTCTTAGCAAGAGCAGTTGTTAAAGGGAAATCGGGTTGTGGTGGAGGTGTTCCTGCCCACGTCCTTGGGAAAATGAATGATCTAATTAGAAACTAGATGAACATGCCACCTTTTTACGCAAGTCAATTAGAATAGGTCTCATTTGCTTGCCTCAAGAAGAGTTGTGCGATTACACTGCTGTCTTGCTCTGGATGTACCCATAGTGAGCGATGTACACTAGGTTCGCAGTCATTCTTTATTTGAAATTAGTGTTTGGAGATTTGGTTACCTTAAACATTGTGCTTGAGCTCAATCCTAGTGGTTGATATAACAGTATCAATGGATATAGTTTTGTCAAAATTAAAGCCAGCAAAAGCTATGGAGCAGTAACAGTAAAAATGAAAATTGTGACACATATAGTGACAAGCTTTAATTTTTTATTTAAACTTAAGTTTTAATTGAAACTTTTAATGTAATTTACTAATGTAAATACAGTAGTTTTAATTCTTGTTTATTAGCATTCTTTCATCACAAAGTATAATTTAAAACAAAAATTAGCCCTAGTGGGGAAAACAAAACTTTTCAGTGGACACATTTTAGCCTGTCCTTTAACAAACTGGTGCCATTTTTGTATGACTTAATGATTGTCATTATTCATGTGGTTTAAGTTTTCCTCCATCATGTTTCAGATGAGAAGGAATTTTCGTGTCACCATTGTTGACTGGTACTGCTAAGGATCCAATGGCAACTTCTGAACTGAAAATCAGTGGTCATGCTTTTCCAGATCTGGAAAACATTTGCATTTTTCACTCCACAATAAGTCCTGATATTTTCTAAGCTTAAATGGTAAAGGTGGGAGGTTCCTTATGAGCTTTTTTTTGCTGTATTTTCGGTGCTGCTCTCTGTCCGCAGTGCAAGACTTTGCATTTGATAACCATAATTTGAATATAAAATCAATCCAAGGAGTTCGGTTCTCCATCTTTTACCTGCAAGGTAGCACTCATAAACATAGCAATGATCAGTGAGTGTTTATTATTGGTAGTGAGTTTGTTTATTGTATTTTGCCTTCTAAAAGTTTGTAAAAATATGACAAACTGTTTCAGTTAATACTTTCTCTGGATGTATGATCATTACAGCACTACTGGTATCCGAACATGTTTGGCTGTATTTTTGTATCTGAACAGCTGAGGGCACTAGCAGATACAAAAAAAAGTTTTTTATAGAATATATAGTGCCAACTTTCAGAGCAGTTCAGGGAACTAGAGCATTCTAATGACTGGAGAGCTTTACCTTGTTTATATGTTTATTCACAATTAGCAATGAAATATTTCACAGTATGCATAACTGTGTAATCTTTTCTCCCTTGTGCCTAGGTCCAGACTGCTCCTTAACGGTTCCTTCCACAGAATCATATTGGGTTCTGCCAAACGCCAAGCCTTTCAGTCCATCTGTTGGCCGTGCGTCCCACAAGGCTGTGGTGCATGGAAAGTTTATGTGGGTGATAGGAGGCTACACCTTTAACTACAGCTCTTTCCAGATGGTTCTAAAGTAAGCTTTTCTTCTTCACCCATATAATCCACCAACATATTTAGTTAAATGTCTCTTCTGTATAAGAAGACCAGAGTGTCGAAGAGATTATTTTTCTCTTAAATTGAAATCTCTTATGTGTGGTTTTGAATGCGGAATTAGTAAAATAACAGATTTTTTTGTAAAGGATTTTAAATATTAATAAATGTGTTCATGCTAGACAACACCCTTTGATGTGTTGCACAACTCTGAGCTAAAAATCCCAAATTGTTTATGTGGATGATTTTCTACACTTCTTTGCCAGATGTGCAGCTGTATATTTTTACATTTACTTTTAGAAAAATCACAAACACGTTAATACAATGTCCCACAAAAGTATTACTTAATAATTCTTACAGTTCTTATAGTTCTTACAGCCTGGTGAAATCTTTTGGTTCATTTTGTAGTTACAATTTGGAAAGCAGTATCTGGAATGTCGTATCAATAAACAGTGGACCCCTGCAGAGGTATGGACACTCCCTTGCTCTCTACCAGGTAAGAGGCTTTGCTAAGAGATATGGGTGCTGGTGTCCTTCTATAAGTTGTGATCCTGTGATGCAGACCTGCAATCACACTTTTTAACATGACTGGTTATGTGTGGTTACTTACACTGAAGGAAAGCAAATTAGTTTCAAATGGAGTGGAATTTCTCTCAAATGCTTGGTAGCTGTTCATCATTAGGCCCAGCATGTGATGCTTAATTTGTATGGGTGGAAACAATCTGCAGCAAACAGTAATTTCATAAAACTGCAGCGAAACTTGTGCTCTTAAGGCACACGCTGAGATGGAGTGATGAGAATTATTTGTAAAGCTCTTAAGATGGTGATATAAAAAGATTTGGGAAATATTGTGTTTAATTTGAATTGTAAAAATATTCAATAGCTATGGTAAGATGAGATGTAGATTACCTTTAAACTGTAACCAGTTTCAGTGATTTTGTAGTATTCTTATGCAAAAAAGAATGGATTTACTTTTAACATGATCATAGAAATATGGTAAATATGGTAATCCAGTTAAGATTTATTTACATTTATCAAATGTATTATTTTAAACTATGAAATGTGTTATCCCTTTATAAAGTAAAGTATTTCACACAATCTTTGTGTTTTGTGTTGACACATGAGCTTTACCAGTACATTAGCACAGTATAACATAATGTCTGAGCTGCAGACTGTTGTTAATTGTTGCCAGAGGTTTGTGTGAGATGTACCTACAAGTGGGTAATGAAGTCCTCCTTTGAAAGAAGAAACAATTCAATTTTTTTTTAGTAATTCAGATACAAAACATTGTGGTTGTCATTGGCACCCAACAGGCTCTGCTCAGAGACTCTTTGGTATTGTAAATGCTCATGTACGAATTCCAACATGATATTTCGCCCAGTCCATGTATACAGTTGATGGGGCATCAGTGTTTGATTTAGAGTAGCAGCTTAAATAGCCTTTTCCAAAACTAGTTGCAAATCCCCACTACCCTAAACTTCAGTACCAAGATCCTCCTGGTTGTGGGACCAATCTTATATGCTACATTTCTTGCATTATCCAGATGCTCCATCACTGAAACAGCAGACATGATTTGCAGAAGGAAAGTTTAACTTTAGGTCTTATATTTCTGTAGTAATAAACCAGTGTCCAATTGTTATGTTCAACTGAATTTATATAATCAGTGTATGCATTATAGGCTTGAGGAAGCTCATGTTGAAGTTAATGCATTTTTTCTTAAGAATAAAGCTATATGAAGGATTTGCAATAAAACAAATAATTCATTGGAAATGTAAACATTTGACCATGAAGATTTGTTACAAGGACCTTTTGTAGCACTTCATACCTGTTATAAGCATGTTTGAAATATAAGCAGTGATACAACATTAACAGTTATCAGGACACTTAGAAAATATTAACATTTTTTACATGACATTGCTTAATTGATCATTTATCATTTTTTTCCCCAAATCGTTTATTTGGGGAAAGATCTTACTTTTAATAACAGAGTAAGATCTCAATATCAAGTTTTATTTACAGTTATATCAGTTTTCTGAGTTTATTCTGTATTTGTCCAGTTAATTTTCATTTTAGATTATTTCCTAGCAGAAGTAATGTCTCAAACACAGACTTGTCCGTTCATCTCTTTTTCTGTCATTTTAGTTATTTTTGGTTAATGGCAAAAAAGTCCTGAGGCAAGGATCAAGCTGTGTAATAGTATTTGTGGTTTAAATAGGTTGCTCTGGTTTTCTGAAAAGAAATGTGTTTATACTTGTTACATTCCAGTGTGTGTTCTGTGTGTGTGTTTTTTCTGTTATGTTCACACTGCTGACCCTTGATTGTTCTCCCTTCCCCATTGGCCCACCATCACACCACATTTTCAGTATGACGTCATCATCAATTAACTCTCAGCCAATCAGAACACATTTTATTCACTATATAACATGGAGGCTTTCAGGAAGAAAAGGCCTTTTGTTTGACTTCAGTCCCGTTTGGTTTTGGTTATTGCTGCGCTTCGCTCCTGGTTATTGCTTCGGCTTCGTTTGTTGGTTTATCAGCAATTTGGCGCAATTCATCCTTCCTACACTTATCCAGCTGCTCAAAGGAAGGTTCCTCCACAAACTTTCGCAAATCAAAAGTAGCCATAATTACAGTACCTTGCCAAAACACAATCCACAAATCAAAATCCTGTACCAACACCAAAATTCTGCAACACAAAAAAAAAAATCCTTTAGGATGGGAATTAGATATCCCGGACGAGCCCCCAATAATGTTACAACCCCAAGTGTCTAGGGGTAAAGGGGTGTAACATTTAGGATAATTCTTTTGGAAGCAGGTGGGTTTTGGTGAGGGACTAGGAAGCGTGATAAGGGTAAGGAACTAGAGTGGTGCCAAAGAAAAGAAAATAACAAAATGGAGCTGGCTACGACAGTGAGGGAAAGCTAATCTGACTACAAAAGAAAACCCGAAACCCATGGTCTTCGGCGTCTTCACCCTAACTAACCTGCACTGACTACCCAAAACCATACAAGACAAACGGCACTCACCCGTACTAAACTAGTGTACTAATACAAAATCAACTAAGTGTGTAAAGTGTACCCCAACAACCTAAACTAACCTTATATACAAAAGTTCACACACAAACACAAGTGAACCAGGACTACAAACAAGGGAAAACAAGAGTAATCAACAGGAGCAGGGTACAAAAGAACACAAAAGTTGAACATGTAACACTGGGGCAAGGTAATGGCAAAACAAGGATGAACACACAAACAAACGAAAGTACAAAGAAACTAACATAAACCCAAAAAAACGACAAAGCCGAAGCTATACGAAAATATACACACACAAAGCAAAACAAACCAACAAACGAAGCCAAAGCAATAACCAGGAGCGAAGCAAAGCAATAACCAAAACCAAACGGGACCGAAGTCAAACGAAAGGCCTTTTCTTCCTGAAAGCTTCCATGTTATATAGTGAATAAAATGTGTTCTGATTGGCTGAGAGTTAATTGATGATGACGTCATACTGAAAATGTGGTTTGATGGTGGGCCAATGGGGAAGGGAGAACAATCAAGGGTCAGCAGTGTGGACATAACAGAAAAAACACACACACAGAACACACACTGGGACGTAACAATACTTGATCAGATATGTGTGTAGTCCAAAAACATTTATTTTTCATATGTAAGTCATTTTCATGAAGACCCATATTTTTGTCTCTTATAAAAAGCTTAGGACTGCTGTGGTGGAGAACACGTACTCAAACCAGTTTTCCCCAAACCCAGTTAACCTACCAGTATGTCTTTGGACTGTGTGAAGAAATCAGTGGAAACCCATGAGAACACTGGGGGAGCATACAAACATGATGCAGATTGAATTGAACCCAGAGCTACGAGTCAGCAATACAAACCACTATGCTACTTTGCTGCCGAGCTTAAATTTGGTGCATAACTGGCAGAGAATGAAGACTGTGCTAATTGCACAGAGAATCTTTGTCATTGTCTTTTTTTGCAGTTAAAAGACCTGTAGGTTGAAATTAATTCGCACCTTCATCTTTTTTTTCTTTTTTTTAGCAGGTTTCTTTACTTCTTATGCAACATCTGCTTTAAAACTTTAAGGAGTTAAATTTTGTCAGGTAAACAAAAAGAGATGTTCAATGTGAACTGCTGTGTTGGTCTCCAATACATTTCACTGCCTGAGTTTTTTTTTTTCTATTGGAAGAAAGTGTGTTGCAAATGTTTAATTTTCATCTTGCACATCAGTTATTTCCAAACTAACCAACAGTACAAACTTCATGGTACTTCACTGGAATGTATTCAGTTAGAGTTCAGAGAATTTGTTTTCCTTTATGGTAGCGAAAAAGGATGAGATGCACTAGCAGTTTCTCACTTTTAAACCTTTAAGAAAGACTGGTTTTGGCTCAGAGGTAAAACATCCTGCAGTGAAGGGGAGACAGACTTAAGCGGATTGTCCCTTCTGCTACAAAGATAACACCAGGAAAATAGATACTGCCTGCTTCAGGGAGGCTACAGGTAAAGGAAAAACTGAACATAAAGCCGCATATAGGGAGAAATCCAGCTTGAATGATTTGATAGTCACATGTGGACAGCAGGATTAAATTTACTGTTGAAAGCAGTATCCTGTTGATTCAGGTTCAGATAGAGACAGGTGGATTCTGAAGAGCCTTTTGTGTTTCATTTTTACTTGTCTGAAGCAGTGCTGGTTTTGCTGCTGTTTAGGTTCTCTGATTTCTTCTAAATTCTCAATTTTAACCTCTTTGGGCAGCTGTGTTTGTCTTTCTCTTAATGTAATCTAAACACATCGATTATGGGGTAGAAGTTAAAAGCAGTCACCTGTAAAGAGGGTCAACACTGAAAGCAGAAGGTTCTGCAGCTTTTTGCTTGGAGAGGAGACAGTGAGTTATTGTTGGTGTAAACAAATGGGATTTTCTGCGGGAATTTTGATCAATCAATAGGTGAAAGGTCAAGGAAAGTGTTTCAGACTAAGTTTTTTTTCCCCCGATAATGGCTCTAAATCTTCCCTTTACTGTAAGGTTGAATGCATCTGTTGGGCACTCATTTAATTTTCGCCATACTTTTCAGATGTGCAATTGTACCGATTAAATAGAACATAAAGGAGAAAGGAAATAGCGAGACTGCAATGTGGCGTGAACTGCAAATGACTTTTCAGATGATTACTGTGAAGGTAGAATATATAATGCTTGATAGAACCATTGCTATTCGTTAAATCTACTACTGATTTCATTTTTGCAGTTCATGACATTACAGATGTGATTTTCCAAGAGCATATAATCAACTTATTTTAATAGCATCTGTCAACTTCTCAGTGAGGGGGCTTTCTAGTGGTGTAGTTCCTCACCTCCACACATTGGAGAAGAACACCTCACAAGACTTCTCTCAGGGAGATCTTAGAAAAAGGAGCTGAGAACTTACAGTCTGATTTAGTTTGACGACTGCCAGCTGTGAAGCCTGTCATAAGATAAAGGGAAGCTGT